GGGCCATAGTTTTAGGGGTTCCACCAGGCTCTATCAGACCAGCAAACCTGGCCCCTTTTGTTTTTTATAATTTTGAGTTTTGTTCCACATTGTTCTCCCATGCTATCCAGGATCTCCTATGTAGATTCCCCTCCAAGTGGTTGACAGTGGTAGCTGGGCACCATCTAGTTCTTCTGGTCTCATAGTCATATAGGTTGAGGATCTCATGATGTACCAGTTGCTTGGACTAATTGTTTCCATGCATCTTTGGTTTTCTTCATTCTTCTTTGCTCTGGATGAGGAGAGACCCATGATTGCATGTAGATGGCTTTTTACAAACTTTTAGGATTCCAGTCATTGCTCACCAAAGTAGGATGTGGAACATGTGTTTTGTGTAGTGTGTTATGCCAGTTGAGCTTGATGTGCCCTGCGACTGTGGTCCCGAACCCACAGGTCCAACTACTTGTTCTCTCTGGGTAGCTGCCTGTGGCCAAGAAGTGAGTACAACCTTGTCCCTTGTCAATTCTACTATATACCTGGGAACCTGCTGAATGTTTTAGATGTGCTAGTCCGTGACCCTTCCCTTCAGATCTGTGAGGTGGGTGTTGGAAGTCATTTTACAGGTAAGAAAATAGGTTCAGAACCCAAATACTTTACCAAGGTCCTGTGGTTGATAAATGTAATTCCCTGTCTGACCTCTGAGCCATACCCCTGTTCTATATCATACTGCCCCCAGCTAACAGCCAAGTCATGGCATAAACCAGGGCTATTTACTAGAAAAGGGATCAGTCTTTGAGTGGTCCGTTTCCAGCCTTGTTGAAACATGAGTGTTTGCTTCCAACCAGTAGTGTTGGATGGCACGCACTGAGAGTCCCTCCTCTCCCCCAGAAAACACTCCGGGACAAGGAGCTGGAGGGCCTGCAGGTGAAAATCCAACGGCTGGAGAAGCTGTGCCGGGCACTGCAGACAGAGCGCAACGACCTGAACAAGAGGGTGCAGGACCTGAGTGCAGGTGGCCAGGGCCCCCTCAGTGACAGCGGCCCTGAACGAAGGCCAGAGGCTGCCCCTGCCTCCAAGGAACAGGGTGGCGAGGGGCTCACAGCCCAAACACCCAGCTCCCCAAGGGCCACGGAAGCAGCCTGCTGCCCTGGAGCACTGAGCACAGAAGCATCAGGCCAAACAGGGCCCTGGGAACCCAGCCCCACCACCGCCTAGAGCTTAGCACCTCGGGCATGCTGGGAAGGGAGCAGGCAGCCCAGCCAGGCCTGGTCTATGCGAGGCTCCCACCGCAAAGCAGTTCAGTGCTAAGCCAGGGTGCTCTGGCCTGGCTGGCATTTGACACTTTGCAATTTTGGATTTTGTGGGTCAGTTTTACATATATGTGGCATATGTGCAAGACCTCATACATTTATATCTGTAAGTGTACAGTGGGCTTGCATTGGGGTGGGGGTGTGTAGATAAGGTCAGCAGCTCTTCAGTGAGCTAAAGAGTCTCATAGAGGAGCTGTCATCTGGCTGCCATCACAGTGAGCTGGCAGGACAAATGACATATTTCTCTTGCCCAGTTTGAGGCTCAGGCCCCTCCCAGCTCTTTAGGGCTTATGACAGGTGATACACCCAAGCCTTGACTGTATTTGTTGTAAGCAGGGCTCTCTTGAATCCCCTGGCGATGCCTTTACTTCTCTTGACCTGGAAAAGGTATCCCCAGGCAGAGCCTTGGCAGAGCACACGGAGCTAGTGATCAGACCGCTTTCCTGCCTAGACAAGGGACCTGGAGAATGTTTCTGGGATGATGCTGGTAGGGGGCGCCATAGGCACTGCTTCCCCTGCCCTCTGGTAGTGCCAGGATCAGGCCAATGATGCTTCTCAGTAGCCTTATTCACAGGTGCCTCTTTAGCCTGCACAAATGATTGACAAGAGATCACCCAAAGGATTCTTTCTGAAGGTTTTTTTGCACATGACAGTGTTTCTATTGAGGATCTGCTGAGGAGGGGGGAGGGAGGGGTGTTGAGCGATGGGCCTGGGTTCCTGACCTCCATCTGGTGTCTCACCATCCACCCGGCTTCTTGGCCCAGTTGGTGCTGAGGTTTCCTGTTTGGTGAGACAAGATTCCTTGTAATGAGAGAAAAGAAAGGGCTCTGATAGCTTTGCCCACAAGCTTGCCTACATCCCGAGAGGCCTCTCTCATTCTCATCCTCTCTCCATACAGCAGTTGCTGGGCCCCAGGCCTAGCAGCTCCCTCAGTTTTAATGGGTTCCTTTCTGGGTCCTGCCCCTCCACCACCACAACCACCGCCATATGTGCAGTTCTGGAGATTTGCCCTGGTTCTATTTGCTCCCACCTCCGTGCCCAAGGATTAAGATTTATACTCTTAAAGTTCTACTGGTTGTAAACTTGCCAAAGTATTAGCCAGTTTTTGTTTTGTTTTTACTGAGTAGTCTTCAGGGACAACAGTGCATCTTGGATCAGGAAGGCAGGGCTCTGAACCCAGTGCCCCATCCCCAGCTGGGCCTTGGCTTCCGTGGAGCGCCAAGATGGAGAGGGTGGCTGGGCTTCGGCGGCTCCCTGGATTTCCTTGAAGCCAGTCCATTGTCCACAGCCCTTCATCTTCTGCACCTAGTCCACTCTCTCAGCCTTTAACTTAATCCCTCACATACACAGGTTCATGAGGAACATTTAGTTTTCCTGAATCATGTTATGACTTAAACCAGAAATGGCAACTGAGGGGTCACCATTTGTCCTCCTGCACCCATGGCAGGTATCATTAAGCTGCTTCACTGTTCCCTGCTCATTCCCATGGGTCCTCATTTGCATCAAGATCCCTCAGCAGCCATTATGAGTGTTGAAACCAGTTTGCTGTCCCTGGCTGAAATACTCTCCTGTGGAGAAGTGTTTCCCATTCCCTTCTTTAAAATTGCCTCTGAACCTGCCTCTCCCTACTCCAGAAAGGCCGCTTCCCTCCCCTAGTCCCTGTGCCCAGGCTGAGGTACAAGAACTGCCAGCCCCCATGTGGGATTCATGGGGCTGAGGAGGTACAGGGGAGAGGCAGAGGCATCCACCTGGCCCCTTGAAGAGAGCGGAAAGACCCGAGGTGGCCTATATCATTAATTGCCTGCCTCACTCAGCTACCTCTTTAAAACCCAGGGGGAGGGGTTGGGTTTGTTGGGGCCCAGTGTGGTGTGGGAGATCATAGCTGGGCAGGTGGCCCCAACCAAGCCTCTGGGTCAAGAATGTGGGTCCCAGGCAGGTAGACCTCTGCTCTCAGCTCCAGTTATTTAGCACCCAGGCCATAGGTGGGGGTCCTTTCCTTTCTCTTCCTCTCCATTGACCAAATCTCACCAATCACTACAGCTGCTCTGCTTGCTCTGCTTTCCAAAGTTATCCCAGGTGCCTGGGCACTGTGCACATGGGCCCTGGCCAGATGCAAGGAGGCGGCCTCATTGAATGAAGGCCAGTGTCTTCCTCACCCAGGCAGGCCCCATGCATGTGACCTCAGTTTTAGGACCAAGGACTGTTCTGTGTAGGGTTCTTTGCTAGTTTTTCCTCCAGGGGACCACAGCAGATTGAGGCTCACAACTCAGAGCTCCTGGATCTGCTAACAATGACTTGTGTTCAGGACCTTGTCTAGCTGAGAGCTTAGTGAACACCAGATTCTGAGAGGTGTCAGCAGCACTTTTTTTTTTTTTTTTTTCCATGAGGTTTTGGACCATGGGCTGAGCTCAGGCACTTTGTGTTCAAGAATGTCATTTCTGTAAAGATGGTTGTTTCTCCCCTCAATCCTTTTATGGTGGCCCCGCTGCGGGCTAACGAGGCCAGTGGGGCTGCCCTGCTGTCTATCAAAGGAAGGCCAAGGCCTGCTGAGCTGAGTCTCCAGCTGCTGCTCCAGCCCTCCTGCCTTGCAAAGCTCAGAGGTGGCCACCCAGGGACAGCGGGGCACTTGCCTGCTCCTCGAGCCCTAGCCAGGGAGCTGCCTTCTGTCCCCATAACTCTGATGTCCTCACCTGGCCACCCAGACTCATTTGAAGCTGTGCTAACAGCTTTTTTTTCTCCTTTTGGTATTTACAACAGCCAGGGGTTTGATTTTGATGTATTTTAAACCACATTAAATAGTCTGTTGCCTTACTTATTTCTGTCTGACTTGTGTGGTCCTTTGGTACTTAAGTATCTTTCCAGTCCCTTTGGTGCTCATGTACTCAGCCTTACAGACACAGGATCTGTGCAAAGTCACCATGGATCTTCCCTGGCATCCTACATCTTACAGCATGCCCAGCAATCACCACAGGTTCAGAACACTAGTAAATCAGCTTGAGCTGCCTGAGTAGAGCCCTTGGCAAAGCCAGCATGATGTTCATGTACATAACAGGACCATGATGATTTCTTTCACTCAATCAGATCTTAAGTTAATGATGAAAACAGGTTCTCAGAACATAGAAGGTGAGTGGTGGTGGTGGTGGTGGCAGAGCACAAAGGAGGCCCCACCCCACTCCAGTATGGGAAGAGGGCAAGGTACCAGGAAGGGCCTCCTGTCCCAGAGGGTAGGTAGAAATGTGACAGCTTCACTTGCAAGTGGAAGTGGTTCTGCTGGGGTTGTGGATGCACAGGAGGTGGTGGGAAAGAATGAGCCTAGGTGCTAGGTTGAAGGATTTGGGCTTGATCCAGAGGGCAAGGGGAACTGCTGAGGGTGTTTGAGTAGGAAATTGGTAAGGTCCACAAAGAAAGTGGATGAAAGGGTGATCAGAGAGCCAGGCATAGGCCAATACAGAGCCCCAGATTAAGACAGATGGGTACTCAACACCACTGGGATTGTACAATAGGCAGCCTTCTTTGGCACTGGCCCACTGAAGGAAATGCCCAGGGACCTTCAGGTCCCTGTGATTTTGTGCATCCCTTTACAGGATCATATATTCCCCATGCACTTCAGAATCGGCTGGTTTTAGGCACACTCACCTCCAAGCCTAGGTTTTCAGCTGAGGTTCATATATAGAGACATCTTAACTGGTGGCTTCACCCAACAGAATGCCTCTGGGGCCTGAGCTGGTCTGACACAAAGGATGGTACATCATGCATGGAATACTGTGCAACACTAAAGAAGAATGTAGAGTCTACAAAACACCACAACGTGGAGAAACTTGGAGGACATTCATATTTATTATTGTGAAAAAGAGAGGTTTATATATGGAAGGAAACTTCTTTTTTGGTTACCAAGGGTAGGAAGGGAGGGGAGGGAACAAAAGAAAGATGGTACATTAATGTCCAACAAATGATACAGGTAGTCAAGGCCCTTACAGCCCTGCACAGCCAGGCCTACACAGTGGGTATAACACCCCATCCCAGCAGAGCCTCCATCCCTTTTATCCAGGGTTCTAAAGAAGAACTTATGCTTTTCTGTGCTGCCACATGGGTTCTAGTAAAGGACCCTCTTGAAGGGGTGAAGAATACAGCAGCAACTCCTGGAGCTCCCTGGCAAAATGGCTGAGAGTAACTTAAGGCTGTTGGCCCCTCAAGAAAGCAACTGAGAGTGGGAACCTCAAGAGATGCTCCTGGTCCCACAGCCACCTTGCTGGAGGAACCCTGGTGCCACCCTCGAGCAGCTCTGGTTGGGAGAAGAGGGATGTTGTCCTCCCTGTGGTGCAGTCCCCTCCCTCCAACTCCTTGGTTATTGAAAAAGTCCTGAATGAACGTTTTGCCTTCTGGAGCTTCCTGGGGTGTGGAAGCACCTGGGAAGGAATCCTGAGCAGGTGCCTGAGGAAGCAATGCTCATCTGTCCCTTCCTCAGCCAGAAACCCAGGCCCAGGGAACCCACTCACTCCCAGTGGGAGGAGGGGAAAGTGGCAGGTGGCTGTGCACACTGCCCAGGGGCAGTTACTTGAGATGGCTGGGCAGGCTGGCCAAGCATGAGCCTCGCCTGTAGCATCAGCTGCTGCTCCAGGACCTGAGCTGGCAGCCTCTGCCAGGTCTTTAAATAGCTACCCCATTGATCTGGTCTCTGACAACACCAGCACTCAGCTTCTGACGCTCAGGTTTCCCTCCTGGGCTCTGAAGTCAGGCACCAGGGGAACTTCACGGTCTTCCCTCCGACCTAGTGCTCCTTGCTCTTGTTGTCTAAACCCGGGTGTGGGAAAAGGGTAAAATGACAGGACTATCACTTCAGAGAATACAACCCAACCACTTACTGTTTAGGAGAGTGGTGTTGCCCTCAAAAGACTGGCATATTGT